GAGTTCAAGTATCTCGGGGTCTTGTTCGCGAACGGGGGTAGGGAGCGTGAGATCGATAGGCGGATCGGTGCGGCGTCTGCAGTAATGCGGGCGCTGTACCGGTCTGTCGTGATGAAGAGAGAGCTGAGCCTAAAGGCGAAGCTCTCAATTTATCGGTCGATCTACGTTCCCACCCTCGTCTATGGTCACGAACTTTGGGTAGTGACTGAAAGAACGAGATCGCGGATACAAGCGGCCAAAATGAGTTTCCTGGGCTCTCCCTTAGAGATAGGGTGAGAAGCTTGGCCATCCGGGAGGGGCTCAGAGTAGAGCCGCTGCTCCTCCACGTGGAGAGGAGCCAGTTGAGGTGGCTCGGGCATCTGTTTAGGATGCCTCCTGGTCGCCTCCCTGGGGAGGTGTTCCGGGCTCGTCCCACCGGGAGAAGGCCCAGAGGAAGACCCAGGACCCGCTGGAGGGACTATGTGTCCCGGCTGGCCTGGGAACGCCTCGGGATCCCCCCGGAGGAGCTGGCTGAAGTGGCCGGGGAGAGGGAAGTCTGGGTTTCCCTGCTCCGGCTGCTGCCCCCGCGACCCGACCCCGGATAAGCGGTGGACAATGGATGGATGGATGGATGGTCAAACTTAGCCAACAAGTGACACAGTCAGTCGATGCTGATTTCTACGCTGGTTTCTATTCATTTTTAGTCATCCCCGTTCAGTCAACCCCGTTAGGAATAATTGGTATAAAAAATTGATAGATACATTTTTATTCATATTTTACTACATTGGGTGAATGGTGTGTTTGCAAGATAAAAAACCCAATCAAGATAACAAACATAAACACACCAACAAGAAATTGCACAAAACTATGTAGGCATACAACGTCCTTAACATGTCATAAAAATACAAGCTCTACATGTTTCCCTTTGATATTTCAACATTTATTTTGTGCCCTGGATAAAGTATTTGGGTGTCTGAAGTCATGAGGCAGGGGTTAAACTCCTTGCAACACCTATTACTGAAGGATCTACTTCAGATAGTAAATGAGTTCAATAGATAAAAAGTATTTGAGCCCTAATAGCCATGCATGTGGCCCTGCGATGGACTGGCGGACCGTCCAGGGTGTACCGTGCCTCTCGCCCGTTTGACCACTGGGATAGGCTCCAGTTACCCCCATTAGGGAATAAAAGGTTACCATAATGGATGGATGGATGGATGGATGGATGGATGGATGGATGGATGGATGGATGGATGGATGGATGGATG